TGTAGATGTGTATCATGTGTATCATTAGACTCCCTCACGTAATTATTAATTTTTTATGTATTTATATGTGCATGTGTGTGGGCCCACTCTCTCACATTTCTATTATCTTTCAAACATGGTGGCTCTGCAAGAATGGTGAGTAGATAGTTTCAAGACCAGGATTAGCTATAACAAACTACGTGATGAGATTGTATCACCTTCTCCAATGAAAGTCCACACTTTGGTGCCTGTTCCTAGAGTCCTGGGCTCCTATACATTACACATTCTCACTTTCTTCGCAATTCTCAAAGTTGAAGCCTATTGTCCTACATTTCCAAACTGTACTGGAACTTGCTTTGAGGACCAGGCTGGCCTCAAACTCACAGAGATCTGCCTTCCTGTGTCTCCTGGGTGCTGGGGTTAAAGGTGTGTGCCAACATGCCTGATGAATGTTGCTTGTTGTTAGATATAAACATTTCTCGTGTCTAACTATCTCATCTTTCTCTTTATTTCCTCTTGCAGTCTTGCTTCTTTGCACTATCCAATTTCTCTCTACTTTCTTTTTATGATGGTTATTATTTGAGAAATGGTCTCACTGTAACTCTGGATGGGCTTGAACTTGCTTTGTAGACCAGTCTGGTCTTGAATTCACAGAGATACATCTGCATCTGCCTCCCAAGACCTAGTAATAAAGTGGTATACTGGCTTCTTAATTGTTATTTTAGATTTACTTACTTTATTTTATTAATGGGTGTTTTGCCTACATGTATGCATGTGTGCCAAATGCATGCTTAGTGCCCATGGAAATCCAAAGAGAGTGTTGGATCCTCTAGAGCAACCATGTGAGTACTGAGTTCTGGACAGAGCAGCCAGTGCTCTTTGCTGCTATGTCATCTCTCTAGCCCCTTCATTCACATTTTCATTACATTTGAATAAGCTACTGTCTCCCAGCATCTTGGTGGCACACACTGCTTTCAAGCACCCTGTGGGTCCCATTTTTGAAAGTATTTGTTTTTCAACTCAAATCAAATATCTTGCTTCATCTCAAGCCATCTTCCCCACTTTCCCATACCTTTCCTTAGTCTTGGTTTTATAAACAGAGCAGCCCAGACAAACTTTGTCTTACGGGACAAAACTAGCAGAAGGAAAGACTGGAGGGATAAGGACGTACCAGAGCAGCAAATCATATCAGCAGCCAATGCTGACATTCTCATGTGCCTTGGACAAGAAAAGTACAGAAGTTCTCAGGCAAGATGGAAAGATGCAGTATCTGTGATTAGTCAACATAAGCTGGGTGTACCTTGTGAGCAGATAAGTCATAAAAGAAGAAATAATGGCCAATAATAGTATGGAAGGATGCGTGGCCTTATAAGGAAACAGGAAAGCTTTTGACTGCATACGAAAAGATGAGGGCTGAGCCATGATGGTGGTAGTATAAGGGAACACTCTCAGACAATGCTAGAAATGAAGTGAGCTGACAGGTTTTCTGCAGCTGTCTAGCAACATACATCTATACTTTAAACATCTACAGCTAGCCGGTTAGTGGTGACACACACCTTTAATCCCAGCACTCAGGAGGCAGAGGCAGGCAGATCTCTGAATTTGAGGCCATCCTAGTCTACAGAGTGAGTTTCAGGACAGCCAGGGCAACACAGAGAACCTGTCTCGAAAAACAAACAAACAAAGTAAACATCTACAGTTTGTTATCTCAAAACTCCTACATTTAGGATTTAGCACAAGAAAATAATCAGATGAGGAAACAAAGGTGTGGATTTGAAATCACTGATAATTTCTGCCTTGTTAGTTAGCAAAAAAGCAAGTTAGGATTGTGGAAGAGGAAAAGAGGTTTGTGTCTATTGAGGGAAATTCTCCACCACTACATAATCAACTATGGTACAACCATATCATGCATGCATTAAAAGGAATGATACAGTTCTTTACTATGAAATAGAAGAATGGCTAATTGGAAAGGCCAGGACACAGAACAGCAAGTGTAGTCTGATCCTTTTTACCTAAAATGATGTCTAAAGACATGTGTATTGAAGATGATCAGATTAAGTTCTCTTAGGTGGGCTCCTCTGGGAGGTTTAGTCTCTAGGCATTTCTGATTTGTCACTTTTTTATTATTTTATAGAAATACAGAACATAATAAAAATTGTACAGAATTCAGAAAAACTTTTGTACTTTTCTGTAAGAAGGAACTAACATAGAAACAAATTAAGTATATGCAATGTGTGGTGGGTTGAACGAGATAGCCCTCATTTTCTCAGGCATTTGAATACTTCATCCTCAATTGGTGGCCCTGTTTGGGCAGATACACGAAGTGTGGCCTTGCCAGAAGTATATCATTGAAGTCAAGTTTTGAGAGCTTAAGCACTTGTGCCATTTCAGTTTGCTCTGTTTCCTGCTTGTGGTTTAAGTTGTGAGCTGCCAGCTCTCAGCTTGCTGCTCCAGCTGCAGTACCTGCCCACTGCCACACTGTTCCACCACCATGGTAATGGACTCTTCTTATTCCTCTGGAACTAGAAGTTGCCTTGCTCACCATGCTGAACAACAGGAATAGAAACCATTGACACAGTGATACCACCTGATTTTTAGACTACAGAAGCATTCTAGTCTTCATGAGATAAATTTAAACTGCTTGCTAAACATTCATTTCTGTAAACCTTTTGTGTAAGCTTGGTATAGTGCCTCACACCTGTAGCTCCAACACTTGAGAGACAGATGCAGGAGGATTCTCCTCACAAGTTTAAAACCAGCCTGGGACTACGTAGTGATTTTGAAACCAGCCTGGGCTGAATAATAAGATCCTGTATGAAAAACAAAACAAAACATTCAGTTGTGTAAACCTATTCTGAAGACAGTGGAATTAGGCTATGAATGCAGATCTCTCTGCCCAGATATTGCTTCAATCTCTAGATTTATTTATCATTTTGTGTGTACATGTGTTTTGCCTGCATACGGGTCTGTGAACCACATATACGCAGTGTCCATGGAGGCCAGAAGAGAGCATTGGATCCCCTGGAACTAGAGTTGCAGCAGGTTATAAGCATCCATGTGGGTGCTGGGAACTGAACCTAGGTTCCCTGGAACAGCCTCCAGTGCTCTTAACCACTGGGTCATCACTCCAGCCCGCCTTGTGCTATTTTTTGCTACAACTTAGATTTATCTAGACATATCACAAGGGTTTTCTCCAAGATATTTATCAAAACAAAACAGTTTTCATCAAGAAATGCATGTCATCATTGAAGATGATTACTGTCTAAATTCAGGATCTCCCTAAAGCAGCCTTGAGATGAGAACTTGAGAATGTATTTTATTTGGCTGTGGGAAAAGTGAGATGAAGCTGGAGGAAAGGAAAATATAAGGCTTGTTAACAAATGGGTACTATGACAGACTAAACTAGGTCACTCTGGAAACCTTCTGAAAACCTTTCTAGAAAGAATTACAGAACTGTCCACTGACATCAAGGAGTCATGGAGCTTCATCCTCATCACTCAGGAACAAAGTATCAGGGTTGCTCATGAAACTCTCCAGCCTTGAAAATATGAGCCTTGGGTGGTTATCAAGGTGTCTGGGCCAGACAGGGTGGCATTTTCAGTATGGCATTTATCAACTATCCAAAGCTTTCCAATCCCATGCAGTACATATTAGCCTTACTCTAAAGACAGAATCTGAGGCACACAAAGATTTGCTCACTCTGTGAAAAACAAACAGGTAAAAAGCAGCTAAGCTGAGCTCCAAATACACTGAGAGATACACACACATTTTTCATTCTCAGTCCTTGCAAGGGAAAGATACTGACACAGCTTTCTAGATTATTTTAATCTTCTTGCGTCCATAGCAAAGTCTTCTAGTTTCTAATCTTATAAGCAAGCAAAATTTTCATAACATCATCAGCCATGGCTACTCTTACCATAGAGACAAGTCACTATGAAATTAAGTCAGAATTTGGATCAAAGTATGGGGGAAATTTTTATCTGATGAAATCATTGCAGAGAATCAGTTTCAGAGAGTTCCAGATTTGAATATATTTAAAACATAATCTATAACTTTACTATGAGGAGAGTACTTTATTAGAATAAGTGAAACATCCTGAGCACTGCCAGGACACTGAGATCATGCTAATGTGAGAGCCAATGGGACTCTTTGCTTTAGCAGAAAGGGTAATAATCTGCACATCACTAACAGCCAAGTCTGCCTTGATTTAAACTGCATACAGATTGAGAAAACATTTCAGGAAATCATAAGATTTGCTATGATATGCTATGATAGTTCACCTACATACATCAGCAGAAAGGCCCTTGCAGCTCCCCAAATGACATCTGACACAGTGCTGCCTATGCTGCCCCCTGCCCTGAAGCAAAGGCATGTCTCTTAGGTTTTGTTCCTTAACTTTCCTAGGACATAGCCTACCTCACAGGAAGTAGGGGAAAAGGCAATCCTCTCTGATATGCCTCAGCCCCAAGGCAGCTGTTGGCTCAAAAAAAAGTTCCCAGAAACCCCAGAGGAGCCCACCACAAGGCCCCTAGCCCTAGACCCACCACCCAATCATTAGTCAGATTTGAAGTCTTCTACACTGAACTCTAAGCACATGGGTACAGACTGCCATAGAAGGTTTGGCTAGGTGCTAAACACTGAGCTCTGACCCTCAAGAACCACACAGTATCTCAGGAAAATGTCCATGATCTTATTTATAAATTACCATAATATAGAGGACAAGACTGCAGCCAAGTGCACTGTGGGCTGCCTGGATTTGAAGCATTTTTATTCTCTTGGTAAAGCAGACTTCATTATTCTTGTTCTTCAGCAGTGTGGGCAAGTCTCCAGACACATATGCTATGTATCTGTCTGGGATTTTTCCTGCCCAAGAATATCACAGCAACATAAAGAGTTGCATGGCAAGTAAAACTGCCAGGTCTGTCTGCTCTTTTCCCTGACACACAGAGGCCTTTGCAGCCAAGACATATCCTGGCTCCAATAGGAAAGGGGAGGGCTTGGGCATGAAGGTGGCACTTCACCTGGCACACTGGGCTGGAAGACCTTATTCAGATCCAAGGAGGAGGCTCTGGAATGGGTTTTCTGTGGCCGCGGTGGTGGGGTGGGAGGGTCCTCACCCCTTTTCATGGTCTCTTCTATGGAGGTGCTAGAGTAAGATCTGTAGCAAAATAAGGGAAGGTCAGAAGGAAAGAGTAGATCTTTATTCCCATAAGCCGGGTTGAAGTAGAAAATACCCCAAAGTCAAAATGAATGTAGAGAACAGAAAGGCTGCTAAAAAGCAACTAAAAGTACTACTGTTTCTTAAATGTCTCTGTGTATAATAATTGTCCAAACTCAGCCATGATTGGGACCTTTTGCCCTTATTTTGCCATAGGCCTAAATTTATACTCTCTCCAAAAATGTTTTATATAAATTCAAATCAGTTTCTGTTACAGTTGCTATTAAGAATTGTGTGTAAGCCTTTCAGCTTGCATACTTCTGTGTTTTAGGGAAAGGGCTTCATGCTATCAACCTAGGTAAAAGCCTGGGTTTACTTGCAATGTGATGGCAAGCACATATGGAATGGGGACGGCCATGCTATGGCCAAGAACTCAAATGCAAGGGTTATGCCACAAATGACACTTAGGTAAGAGAAACACAACAATCAGCATCAGAGGGTTAGCTAGTCTTGCTCTGAGAAATAAGGGCTTTGTGGACATTTTCAACACAAAGGCTTAATTTTAACCTTTAAAGTGTAGCAAGTAACAAGGCACAGCTACCTTGATGACTTCTGACACTATAATAATGACATTTAAAGAAAATGGAAGAAAAGATAGAATGCTGCAAACTCTAGTCTGTTTCTGTTTCAATTTTTAAGATGTTGTTTCAGTGCTCATGAAGCAGAGAAGAAATCTTTCTGCAGTAGCAGCTAGGATATTATTGTCGACCTACTTATCTTTCTGTATTACTTTAACTCCATACTTTGGTCTCATGCTATGGACAGGTTCCCGATATGATGATCAGTAAAAGCATAGAGGACGTGGATGTGTCCATCTCTTCTACGCAGATTCTCAGGCGACTTCATGTCAAAGCAGAAAATGACCCCTGAATCACAGATACCTCTGACAAAGAAATTATCTTCAGGGAACTGGCTTCTATTTAGCTATTACAGTAGCTCTTCCTGAATTAGAGTTAGCAATGGCTATTAAACCCATTTAACTTGAGTAAAGTTGTTTTTGACAAAGCAAAGTTTTGTTTGCTTTTAACTTTTATTAAGTTTGTTCTTTGACTATTTCATACATGTATAAACTGCATCAGACTACTACAACTCCCTCTCTAATTTCCCTCCCACCCCTGTTATCCCTGCTTCTTCCCAAGTCCCATTCATGAGGCTTTGGGGAATGTGTTGTTTTGTTTTGCTTCTTTGTTTATAAGACCCACTGTGGTTTATGGATGTGACTGTGAGCTTGGAACCACACATTGGTGTCTAGTGAACTCTGGTGGGTACACAACTATAGACAATGATTGCTACTCCTCCAAAACCCATCAGTAATCAATAGTTGAGCAGGAAATGGCAGGGTCCCATAAGGTTCAATTCATAACCAACTGTTGCTAGGCAAGGTTTTTATTTTCCAAAACCAAAAAAGTTTCTCAAGGTCTCTCTGTGGTGGCCAAAGGTTTTGTCTGTCTTGCAAGGACACAATCTTTTAGCAACTATAATAATGGTATGGGGCATGCACTTGGGTTGGTCTTAGTACTATATCTGGCCAGACAGATGAGGCAAACACAGGCCTCACAAAGGGAAAATTGCCTAATACTGTCAAACAGAATCAAAGGGAATCAGCATAATAAGACAACCAAGTTTTTAAAGAACTATTGCTCTGTAAACAAAGCTGAAGTCCCTATCTAGAAATTTAGAGAAAAACTTTTGTATGCCACATACAGCTTTGGGTAAATATTATCACTTCTATATCCCAAAACTAGTACAGACTAATATATAAAGGATCTGCCAATCCTTAAAAAATAACCCAGAGAGTAAATATGGTCACCTTAGAGAGAGTGACCATACTTTTCTTCCTACTCAAATGAATTTTTGTTCAAAAATATGTAGGAGTATAGGTATCTGTGCTTTATATGAACATGAGAACAAAACCTCAATTCTTTGATTTACATTGAGACACTATGTCTTTAAATTTCAAGAGTATAAAATGTGATAAAGTTTAAATCCACTTTTGAGGGAATGGGGATAGAGCAGCTAAGGCTGAAAGACAAAAAAAAGTCAGAAAGAGTTGAAGCCCCCCCCCAAAAAAAACCCACGTGGTAGATTATCGTCCACTGCAGCTCTGCTGCCTAAAAGTGGCAGTAACACTTCTTGTCTTTAGTGGACTGACTTTGTGTCTCTGTATTTCCCTTCTGCTCCTCCCTTCCAAGTCTGATAACAGGCACAACTCTGCTTTCTTGATTCTCCCTCATTCGTTCATTGCTATTTTAAAAATGTGAAGCTAAGAAGAGGCACTAAGAATGGCTCAAAGAGACCCTAAGTAATGCTTACCTGAAGCCCAGCATCTCCTTGAAGTCACCATAAGCATTTTCCCTTCTTTAGATTTTATGTCCCAGACTTCTTACTATTTGGATATTCACATTCACAGAAACTTTAGTCATTACCTTTTAACCCAATTTTCTTTTAACAAAGCTATACCCATATGACTTATCCTACACCAACTCAGTCATTTTATACAAACTACTTCCTGTCAGGGATCCAGATAACAACAGCCACCATCTTGTAGCATTAATGCCCACAAAGGCTAAGAGGCTTTCCCGCATTGCTGTATAATCAAAGCAGGCCACTCACAAGGAGTGAAATGGCCTGTGTCTTTAGATTCAAGTCTAAAGGCAAAGCAGACAGTGATTTGGGTGTGGGTGTGGGGGTCAGGATTTTTCTGAAGCAGGGACAGGGCACAAAAGGCATCAAAGGAGAAATTAAATAAACACTACCTGGATCTTGGTCTTGCTTTGAGACTGTAGCAGTCCTTAGAAGTTGCTGAAACAAAAGATTATTTGTTGGTTGCTTAGGTTTTCAGTTCTCAGTTATTCAGGGTGATAAGTAGCAGCTGGGATAGTACAGAACACAGCAACAAGTAAAACCGAGGTTGGTGTATCCATGTGGAAAACTCAAGGGTTTCCACACTTTGATAATTCTCTGACTTTACTTTTAAAGCTAAAGGCACAATGAAAAGGAAAGAAATCCAGCATGTTTTCTTTCATTGAGACATCAAGAGGCCATTCTCAAATTTAAATGGATTAATGGAGACATTCCAAGATAAAAAGACAACCCACTTACGAGGTTATCTTTTTATATAATGGTAGATTCCCACCCAAGGGTTTCTTGATCTCTCACGATAGTCTAACAACAGACTTAAGTCAGTATCCCATGAAGGTTAGGAGGAAATATATCTAGCTACATATTTTCTTTAAATATATAAGATTATCAGAGTTAGATGTAGTGGCTAATACCTGGAATTGGGATTCTAGAAGCAGAAGCAGGATGACTGGCACAAATTCAAAGCCAGCTTTGTCTACATATTGAGTTCTAGGCCAGCCAAGGCTAATTAATGAGACTCTGTCTCAAAAAAGTATGTGTGTGTGTGTGTGTGTGTGTGTGTGTGTGTGTGTGTGTGTGTGTGTGTGTACAGAGAACCATGGTCACAAGAAATCTGACCCTTACAAAATAGCTATAAGAAGTTGTACAGCTTTTCCTATAAGAAAATATTCTTAGAGAGATCACCATGGCTTTGAGAGCAAGCTGGGCAAACAGTAAGTTTCAGAATAGCCTGTCTAAGCTACAGAGTGAGACCCTATCTCAAAAACCTCCTTCCATTAAAAAGAAGAAAGAGAAAATATTCTTGTTTCCCTGTCTTGGTGACCAAGTCAGACAAATAATATGGAACAAAATAATTAAAACATGCTTCTAACATACCCTCATCAAACCTCTATCAGAAGCTAATGTGTTCACTACCAATATCCATGAAGCCCACTTTCCCATCAGAAGTTGTGAGGAGTAATTAGAAACACTTACAAAAACATCAGTCCCCTTTTTGTGTTTCCTCTCATCTGTAGAAAGTGCCTTTACAAGCTCATAGCTCTGCTATGGTTTTGCAAACACTGCAAGTTCTCATCATAAAAATCCACAGGAAGAGCGCAGCTTATGGGGAGAACATAATTTGTTTCTTTGTTTCGCATATTTATCCAAAAGCAAGTGTCTTGCTGCACTATTCCATCCTCATTTACACTGCTCCAAATATAAAAGCCTCCTCTGATAGAAAGCAGCCTAGATTGATGATGATTATTAAAACCTTTGGGTTAGACAAGCAAGGCAGAAAGGGGAGCAGAAAATTCTCATAAATGCCAGCAAGGCACAAAGCAAACTCCCAAGAGAGCAAGCCTTTCCTTACATGTGGTCAGCTGCATAAAAAGAGCCATTTCTCCTGACCTAAGCATTTTGGCTTGCTGCAGTGAGAAAAGGCATGTTTCAACTTCCAACTGAAACACTGCCTTTATCCCCTCTCCACCAACAAAAATGGAAAAGCCAAAGAGATAGAGACTTTCCTTGTTCATATCATGCACCCAGCCTGGAGAAAGAAGAACGAATCAACTCTTCCTACCTCCTACCAACTCCAGGCAGCACAGAAAGGCAACCTATATGGGGCCTCCCCTCTCTCTCAGAGCTAGGAAGCCCATGTGTGGCCAGACTCACAGCAATGCTGGAGGCAGGCCTCTGAGCAGGCCCACCACTGCTCCTCTGTGTTCTTCTTCAGGTCTCGCTGCTTTCCAGAAATATTTGTGTAGCAAATATTTTCCCACGCTACCAGACCAGGGTAACAGTTAATTCCTTTGTCATTTGTCTTTATCTTTATCTTTGTGTCAGTGCAGGGATGGGTGTGGAAGGAATGGTGAGGTCTGCTAATGAGAGATAAACAGACAGATGGAGTAGGCTGTGGATGAACAACGGAGAAAGGAACAGGTTGGGTGTCCAGAGACCTCTGGTGCTCCTACTAGCCATGTCACTAAACCGATGAGCTTGCCTTTCCTCACCTATTAAGCAAGTCCCTCTAGGAAAAGTGAATGGCCTACAGAATTGCAAAGTGTTCCATTTATAGAACATAAATTAAGACTCCTAATATTCTAGGCCTGAAAATCTAGATTCTGAATTTAGTTTCTTACAGGATTGACAAAAAGAAGTACAGATGGGAGCAGGTCGTGGAAGGGGAAACTGCTGCACTGCAGAAGAAACATGAGGTAGTCACTAGCAATGAACAGCATCTGGAACTGCCCACCGCCGTCTGGAGACCACACTGCAGGAACACCTTGCCATGACCCAGAAACAAGATGAAAACTACAGCTGTGTGCTATGTGTGGTTGAATTAGGCTAGAATGGAACATGGGGCATGAAACCCCTTAAGACTCCACTAATACATAGCCATCCAACAACTAGAAGAGTAAGAGTATGTGGGAATGTTTAACGGGGAATCTCCATTCCCTGATGACTTGGTACCCCTCGTCTGTCTCCCCTCATATCACCTTCACCATTACCACTGTTATCACCACCATGTATACTAAGCAGACCAGACACATGCTTCTCTATCTACCTGCAAAGATGTATCCAAGGCACAGCTTAGCAGTGGACTAGGTTTCAGACTACAAAAGCTTCAACAGTACTAGTGCAGTTAAGTCTTCCATCACTACCCATACAATCCAACTCAGCTCCCCAGAGATACTCATACTGCATATGAGTATCTGCACAAATGACAAGGGCACACTGTGTTGCAAGCTCAAGCAAAAGCCAATGGATGGATCACAGCTTCTCATTTAGCTGGAGAGAGAGGAAAATGACAACTTCTTGGAACACTCCAGGCATGTAATCTTTCGTCATCTTTCCAGGAAATGAAAAAAGTAAGAGGGCATAGACCTAATAATTGACCTTCTAAAAGGCTGCAAAAGAACGGAGAGGAACTGTCTCTGGTACATTAACTACCATTCAAAATTATAATTACCCCCTTATGAGTCTCCTATCTCCCAGGGGAAGACTGAGGTGTCTTCCAAAAAGCAGGCTGAAAAATATGTTTGAGACGAGCTATCCAATCACAACCACAAGGGGGCAGCAGTGGGAAGAATAAATCAAAAACACACGGCATGTTCCCAGGCCGTGTGTAACAAATTTAGATAGACTTCATGTGCTGTGGCACACCTGTTAGGTTTTATCTGGTGGTGCCAAGTGCTAGTCAAAGAATGTTAAAAATGAGAACCAAGGCTCATGCCTCAGAGAACACTTGATCTCATGCTGAAATCTCTGGAACAAATAGAAAGATTTAGCATTCCCAAAGCCTATAGGAGAAGCATTAATTTAACACTCTTAATTGAAATAGCTTTTACTAATACCATGTCACGAAATTTACAAAAACTGCAAAGCATCCACCTTGACATCCGAAATCAGAGCTCCTAGGAATTAGTCACAAGTGTTTGGACTATACAAATAGAGCATTTCCCCTGTGATGAGTGGATCCAAATGTTTCAAAAGTCAAAATCAGGCTTGAGAATTCCCATAGATTTTGGAGTCATGATTGATTTACCATCTTGATTTCCTATTTTGCAGCACCGATTTTTTGGAAGTAATGGTTTCTAAAGAGGCTGCATAACAGAATCACCTTGGTGGGGGTGATTTCTCCTGTCCAGTCCTCTCTATCTCCTCCTTCCTCTTTCTCCATCCTACTCTTGCTTTTAAACTTCAAATGACCTTAGTGTTTGGGAAACACATTTATAGCAGCATCAGCTTCAGCAATCTACTGATTTCTCTGTTGCAACATTAAACAAATAAGCTCAGGATGATAGGTAGCCAATCATAAGAAACATTATTTTCAGTCTAAATATGCAAGAGCAATAATAATAAAGAAAGCAGAAACTTCATTCAAATCCTCATAACCAAAGATCTAAATAACAATGCTTTTTGAAGCCACTTGATCTTTAACATGGTTCATCTTACTTTGGTGATGGCTCCATTTGGAGAGCTAAAGGGGGCTGGCTAGAGAGATGGCTCAGCAGTAAGAGGGCTTACTGTTCTTGCAGAGGGCATGAGTTCAGTTCCAAGCACCCACATGGCAGCTCACAACCATCTGTAATTTCAGTTCCAGGGGATCCGACAACCACTTATTGAACTCCATGGGCACTGTACACACATAAGGTACAGGCACAGGCACGCGCACACACGCACGCACGCGCACACACACACACACACACACACACACACACACACACACCACCTCCTCTTAAATAAATAAATAAATAAATAAATAAATAAATAAATAAAATATGTTCGGAAACCCAGGCCCAGACATTCTCTATGGTTTCCCAGTCACATTTCTACTTCTCCCAGAAATGGACCAGCACAACTTCTACTTTTCTTCTGCTTGGAATCTACTCCATGTTTAACAAGTATCTTCTTGGTAGGGAAGAGGTATAAAGATATTTAAGATTAACACTTTGGTAATGGAAAATACCAACTGTGGGCTTCAGGTTAATTCACCTTATGAGCTCCTTACTTTACAAAGAAAGCATAGGAGTTTATCTGAATCACTGAAATTCTAAGGTGTCCTAATTTTATACTTCTAAATTCAAACTGAGTGAAATCTAAAGTCAGCCTTTTCTGAAGAGAGGGAAATGGTGGAACATCTAAGGCTTCTTGTAACAAAATACAAGCCAAGGTTCTAGAGAAACGAACAGACACACTATCACAGACATAATAATCTTCAAGTTACCAAACAGCTGAGGTTTTTTAATTTAGAAATGATTAGACAGCGAATACATTAAAATGGTTTTCTCCTACCTGTATCCTCAGCCACGTCCTTTGGTAAGGGTTCATTAACAGTACTTTTCAAAGCTAGTAGTATTTTGTTTCATGTTTAAGGAAGAAGAAAGAGAAAGGAGAAGAAAAAGAAAACAAAGGCCTTTTAAATTTTTATTTCTGGGATAAAAGATATTAAAACAAATAATCCCTATCCATCAGTTATAAAAGTGTTACAACCCTCTAGAAGTTGCTATAGAATTTCTAGAATAAACCTCATAGAGCATGGAAACAGGGTCTCCACCTACAGAAGGAAAAACTATTTTCAACTTTCTAAAGAGACAGCCACTAGTGGTTAGGAGGAGTATTACCAAAAAGCATCCCAAATTTCTCCCACTTTCCTTCCTAACAGCCAAATCAATGATGAGAGAATGCTTGGAATTTAAACCCAAGCTTCAATATTCTTAGAGCTTTGCAGCCAACACAAAATTCACAAGTTAGTAAAGTGATCAACAGCAGATAATGTCTAGCTCCACTTGAATTTCCTAAACAAACATTTAAATAGAAAGCAAGACACCATCAGTGCTTAATGGAAACCTTTTTCATGTTTAATGTCTCTGTGAGGCTGAATTAATGGCAGGGCTCAACAATAAAACCTGAAATGGCTTCCCTTCAGACAGGCTTCTCCCACTTGTGAGTGGTGAATTGATATAACAGATGGAATACTGGCTTAAGACAGAAAATCTTGGTTCCTGTCCCAGTTCTTTTTCTTCTTGTACAAGTAGATGATTCATGCTGCCTGTCTGAGCTCAGTTGCTTATTTCTAAATGTTAAGTGATTTCAAAAACATTAGTTTTGTGAGGTCTGTAAAAAGACAGTATGTGAGGAAGGACTTGGTAAATTACAAAAGGATCACACAAAGTACAGGGTTCAGAGGATAGGGTCCTGCCTGCACTTCTGGATACTGCAGGCAAATTAATCCCCATGCCTGAGGGTATCTCTAGCACTGAACACTATGCTGCATGCCTTCTCAGCTACCCAGTAAAACAAGGATATTGAAACCAGGCTCCATATCACACCTCCATAACCACTGGAACAATGAGAAATACATAAAGCTTTAGGATTGACACACTGTATGAAAGAACGAACTTCTTCATGGATTAGACCTGTATGCAAATGTACATTTATGGTAGTTTATTTTTTCAAATCATTTATACCAACACTAGATATTAATCGTCCAATTCTTCTTATTTCCTAACTATGGGACCAGAATCCAATGTAAGGTGTCAAAGTACCCTAAGATTAACAATGACCAATGAATTAAGGGGACTCAGAAACTGAAGCTCATACTACAACTTGTGAATTACAGGCTTCTGACAACAGTTTAAACTACACAATCTATCCAAATGAGTGTACATTCTGAGCACTGCCTCATATGATTTGGAAGCTGTTCCAGGAGAAATAGATGAGGAAATATAGGAAGGTATGCCTATAAGAATAAAACTAATTCTTTTCATACCTTGTTTGTCATCACCAGTAGTCACATCTTGGGTAGGAACAGGAAAGTCAGCCATGTCTTTAGCAGATGTCTTCTTGGAAAAGAAAATTAATTATATGGTTTGAAATAAAAATCAAGTGATAAGCACACATGAATATATGTCTTAAAGGTTATAGTTCATGTCAAAATTTATGTCTTCAGTAAGTCCTAACATTTAATACTATTTTATTAATTTGGTTTCCTGATGAAGTAAACGTGCACTAAAATGTTTATATACATAGAGGAAAGAAATAGGTTTGAGAAACATGGAGATTCATATTAAGGCATATTATTGAATCTTCCATTAAATTTGAATCTTGAGTAGGATTCAACCAGAGTTTTTGTTTGTTTGTTTGTTTTGTAAAATTTGTCTAGTCAACCATCACTAACCTGCCCTTTATAAACTTTTTCATGCAAAGAGGGTATGATAATGAACCCATAGTGGGAATATCTGCCAGGATCTGTAGTGATATTCAGCCTCCTTGTGAAAGAATTAAAAAACTTACTGATGGGCAAATAAAAAATGCCCCTAAAGCTGAGCACAGTTGCACACACCTTTAATCCCAGTACTCGGGAGGCAGAGGCAAGCAGATCTCCGTGAGTTTGAAGCCAAGTCTGGTCTACAACTCAAGTTTCAGGACAGTCAGGGCTGGATAGAGAGACCCTGTCTCAAAAAATACTCCTGACTCATAGATGAGTAAAGTTCTAATAAGTTGAATACACAAACTGGTCACATATGAATTGTTTTAAAATAGTGTAAAGTTTACTAACTATAAATTTCCAATAAGCTCCACAAATATGTACTCTAACTATAGCAATATATAGTATGCTTAAAATTTTCACAAAGAGAAGATCTTAAATATCTACTGAAACCAAGCCACAGTGTGAGGTGATGGGGGAACTATGTGGCTTTGACTGTGGTTAACTGCTTCACAATCTGTGTGTGTAAACCTCTATACGTGTATCAAAACATCATAAACATGTGAAATTATATTGGTCTACCCCAAAACTGGAAAATATGTACTCTAAGGCCTCTACTGTGATTAGAGGACAATATCTACTCATATTTGTGTTATGTTTGTATGCAAACTCTGGAAGAATGGCTAGGTAGGTGGAGAAATAAGTGACAGGATGACTTGTCACCAAATGCACTTTGTTATTACATACATTTTAAACATATTTGAAACTTAAGAGATAAATTTTAAAATGCAAAGGAAGGTGATTAAATTCATAGAGGTATTTGGTATCCAATGGTGAACTTTAGTCTGCATCTCAGAACTCAAACAACCACAGAGATAACCCATGCTTCTGGTTTTCAATTGTACTTGGCGGGAACCTGATCAAAAGTCTAACAATCCACATCTAGGTGACTCTTTAAGTGTTAATATTGCTTTTATGGACGGGTGGTGGCACACACCTTTAATCCCAGCACTCAGGAGGCAGAGGCAGATGGATCTCTGTGGAGTTTGATGCCAGTCTGGTCTACACAGTGAGTTCCAGGACAACCAAGGTTAAACAGAGAAACCTCGTCTTGAAAAACAAAAAGCAAATCGTTTTTACAAGATAATGTAATATATATATTAACTCATTTTAAAGTAAAAAGATTTTGTTTATAACTGCAGAGAAATGACTACACAGACAGCTCCTATATCCACTGAGTTATGTGATGAACTAGAAAAAATTTTCTGTGTAGAAAATGGCAAAAATTATAACATTTCCCAGGCTATCCCAATAAATCCATTTAAACCAATAGTAGCCAAATTATACATTCATGGATATTGTTTACATTCTAGGATCCAGAAGAAACTTAGGCCACATTTCTTGAAATAGCCATGTTTTACTTTGTGTACATGATGTTCCAAGTAATCTTTCCCTTCATTTTATTTCTTGAGAAGTTCATATACAAGTGCTGTGTTTATATCATTTCTACCACATACTCTCTTCCTCCAACTCCTCCTATGTCCTCCACTCCTTTCAAACTCATGACCTCTTCTTCTTTCACAATTATTTTATGAACATATGGATATATGATGCAGCCTGCTAAGTCCATCTAGAATTGCTTGTATGTACATGTATTTAGAGCTGAGTACTTACTTGGTACTGGATAACCTATCAGGAATCTTGTCCCTAGAGAAGACTGATTGTCCCTCTCTTAGCAATCATTCATTTCCTATAGCTTTTCATCTAGAAATAATCCAATGATAACACTAGTTGACATTCCAATGTGGAAGAAGGAAATCTCACAAGGCCCTCTCACTTCTTGATTTATACAGTATCATTTTTCTGTAGGCTAATCCATAGTCCACATCTACATTTTAGCCGTTCCTTCTGAAAGGCAGCTAACATGTCCTTAAATCCACTTGGCATTGCATGCTTTCCTATCCTAATAGGTGATTCTCCACACTACAATGAAACCCCCAAAAGTCATTTCCTATTCACCACCTATTACTTATAGTAAGCTATAGAAGAAGTCTTTTTTTTTTTTTACAGTGCTGGGGATTGACCCTAGAGTCTCATAGCATTCTAGGCAAGTGTTTATGCCACCAAACTATATCCCCAACCTGTTTTTCTGTTTTTCTTTTGAGGCAAGTCTCATTAAGTTTCCCAGGTCAGCCTTAAAATCATTCCATAGCCAAGAATAGTCTTGAGCTTATAATCCTCCAGTCTTAACATAGGAAACAGCTAGCAATACAAATGTGGCCAGGCAATAGTGCATTGCTTTTATTGTCTTCTCCTACCCAGATCGCATTAGAGAAGAAAGTAGTCTAGGGATAAAAAAAATGCAGATAAAAATAAATCCAAATAAATCACCGAAAAATCTTGCTCAAAACACCAAAACAAACAAAAAACAATGGACACAAGATTTTAATAGCTATTAAATACACAAATGGCTAACCAGCACATGAAGAAATGTTCAATATCACTGGTCATTTTCAATGTGAAACTATAATAAGATATACTTGCATCCCACTAGGATGGTTAAAATGAAAGTGGCACAAACAAGGGTTAGCAGGGCTATGAAGAAACTGGAGGCCTCAGACATTTCTGGATGGAGAACTGAAATAAGCAGTTGCTTTGGAAAGTAGTTTTGTAGTTCCTCAGAAGTTTAGCACAGCTATGGTACCATCCAACAATTCCACTAGTAAATGTATTGAAAAGAGAACCAATCATATTTGTCCACACAAAAATTTACCCATGTAGGTTCATAATTGCCAAAATATTCAACAAGAACTAAACAAAATGTGGTATATCCATACAATCAATACTATTCAGCACAAAAATTAATGAAGTACCCTCAAAACACCATACTAAGTGAAAAATACACTCACAAACCATATATACACTATTATCCTATTTATATGAAATGCTCAGAATAGACTAATCCAGTAAGAGAAAGATTAGTGGGAGCCAGGGAGATGGATCAGTGGGCAAAATCACTTGTTGCCAAGTCTGAAGACCTGAGTTCAATCCTCAGGCCCCACATTGTGAAAAGAAACAACCAACTGCAAGCTATCCTCTGACCTCCATGATGAGGTCATGGTATGTGCACCCACCCCAAATAAATGAATAAATACAATAAGAAATTTGACTAGTGATCATCAGAAAATGGTGGCAGGAAGTGTAGCAAATGGGTGCTAATGAAAACAGAGTTTTAATTAAGAGTGATAAAAATGTCTTGTGCCTACACTTCAGGGATGAGGTAGGCTTTTTAATGATACAGCTGCCTTTGAACAACATCCATACTCCTCACCTGTATTCCTATAAGGAACCCCAACAAACTTACTACTTCACTAAAAAAGTTCTATGATGGACTATGTTGATGGTTGAACTGTGTGCTTTAAATTGGCATGGTATGGTATTTCTTAATAAAGGTATTTTTAAAAAAGAAAAAATCCAGTAATCTAACATACTAACATGGAATATACCTGAAACTATAATCCATATTTTTTTTTAATTTTTATTTAATTTTTGTGCATTGGTGCTTTGCTTGTATGTATGTCTGTGTGAGGGTGCTAAATCCTAGAGTTACGGGACTGGAGAGATGGCTAAGAGGTTAAAAGCAATGACTGCTCTTCCAGAGGACCTGGGTTCAATTCCTAGCGCCCATATGGCAGCTCACAATGGCTATAACTCCAGAGGTTAAGAGCACTGGCTGCTCTTCCAGAGGTCCTGAATTTAATTCCCAGCAATCACATGGTGGCTCACAACCATCTATAAGGAAGTCTGGTGCCCTCCCTCTTCTGGCCTGCAGGCAGAACACTATATACATAACAAATCTTTAAAAAATAAAAATATTAAAGTAAAAAATTGCCATCATAGTAATCATAATAGTGATAATGATGATTGTGGGAATAACAGTAACAATAACCATACCAATTCATATTTATTAAACCATAGCTAAAGATCACTGAGCACAGGGATAATCCATTAATGGTTCAATATCATGGGAACTTGCCAAATTTCTTTGGGAGAATCATCTTCATTTAGTTTAAAGTTTCAAAACCCTGAGGTATCTTTAAATGTGATTTAGGGCCCCTTACACACCTCTCAAACCTCTTTTCAAATTTTTTCAGGTTCATTATACCTTGCTAATGCCCAGCAACTAAATTAAGAGCATTGTCTGTTCTTCCCGAGGACCTGGGTTCAATTCCCAGCACCCACATGGCAGCTTGAAGCTGTCTGTATCTCCAGTCTAAGAGAGTTACAGACCCTCTTCTGGCCTTTGTAGCCACCAGACACACACATGGTACACAGCCATGCATACAGGTAAAACACCTATACACACAAAAATAAACAAATTTTTAAAAAATTATTTACTAAGGACTTAATGCCTAGTTAAAGTAAACAATTTGTCTAGCATTATCTGCCTTTGTTTGGCTATACATAATTTCACATCCAGAAGGTCGCACACACACTCTACTTTTATGAAGAAAAAGAATTATACACATTATTTGGTGTGTATATTTGAAAAGCCAATCCTCAAATGAAGCATGAAAAGAAAATGCTATAAAAGTTTATTTTCCAGTATTTGTGAAGACATAAACTATGAGTTACTTCTACATACATCCTGATAAACATAGGAAGAATTTTTTGTTTTGTTTTGTTTCTGTTTTTTACCTCCATCCGATTCAAGTCACAAGGCTGTTGGTTTGCTGGCATTGACTCAGAATAAGAATCAAATATTGCACACTCCCACTTGGATTTCGGGAAAGCTAGTAGGGAAGAAAAAGAATATGTAAGAATACTTACTACATGGCTGGGTGTTGGTGGCACACACCTTTAATCCCAGCACTCCAGAGGCAGAGGCAGGAGGATCTCTGTGAGTTTGAGGCCAGCCTGGTCTACAGAGTGAGTGCCAGGATAGGCTCCAAAGCTACACAGAGAAACCCTGTCTCGAAAAACCAAAAAAGAAAGAATATTTACTATAGTCATAATGAAATGTCTTATCTGCTAAATATAACACCAAAGTCAGTTCACTCATATGCACTACCTACATTACTATTTGTAGTGAAACAGCATTTGAATGTCCTTTTACAAGCACAATCTAGTATTGCCATTCCCATTCCATACATGCTGAAACTGAGGAGCAGGGAAGGTAAACAACTTACTAAAGTGCATACAGCCAGTTAGTAACTGGCATAGACCAGAACACCTGACAGTCCAGCAGAGGAGTTATTGCTCTTGGAAATGTATGTTACAATATGGTAGCACTTTGACATGTTGGCTATCATATCTTAAGTTTTAATCATACTAAATACAATTTTAATGCAATATTCATAAAGATGGCTTGAATACAAGGAACATTAACTAAAAAAGTACTTCCTTTCAAATATTGCTAGAAATAAGCAAGACACTAAAATAATATATACCAAACACAACTTTATGAAATATTTATCATTTGTTAGTAGGAATAACAAAAATGAAAGCATACATTCTTACTGACTGAATAATAAAGTAAACTTACAGGTCTCTTCTACCATACAACAGCAAAAGTTACTGTTAGGAAGCTAAGTAACTTGGCATGAGGAAGAAAGCATGTTATATGATAAGCTAACAGCCAGGTTACTTCTTAGGAGCAGATTCTGCCTTACTACTCTATCATGAAGTAATCAACAATGAAATATCACAAGGACTTTCAAAAGTTGCTAATATTACAAAGAGGAAAAGCAGACTAGGGCAGATGATAAATAGAAGTTATAAATCAAATCTGTCGAGACACACTGTTAGGATCAATTTTTAATGAAATGCTTTTTTTAAACTGAACTGAATGTAAAAAACTTGGTTAGTGTCTTTTGTGGGGGTAGTTCAAGACAGGGTTGCTCTGTGTAGCCTTAACTATCCTGGAACTTGATCTGTAGACCAGGCTGGCCTCAAATCACACAGATCTGCCTGCCTCTCACTTCGAGTGCTGGGATTAAAGGCATGCACCATCACTGTCTGGCTGAATTTTATACTTTTAATTTGAGTTTAATTTTGTAGCTCTAGCTAGCCTTGAGTGCACTATTTAGGACAGGCTGGCCTTGAACTCAAAGAGATCCGCCTGCTTCTGCCTTCAGAGTGCTGGGATTAAAGGCATGCACCACCACCTGGTAATTGGTGTCATTTTTTAGCCCTTACTTATCTTCCCACCACTGCTGTTCACTCAAGTGCTAGCTCAGGTACCATTACCATGTGGAAGCAAAGAGAAGGCAGTCCTACATAGGAAGCTAACATTTTTCAAATGCTACAAATGACAATAATTAACAGGTAACTCTCTCCATCCTATCTTCTATCTCTCCAGGTCCACTGTCACATCCCCAGTTTGAGTCCTCCTCTGCTCTTGACTACTCTTGGTCTGTGGTAGGCAATACATAGAATCATTGCAGACAAGAAATCCAATTTTGTTACTTCCCTGCCTAACACAGACCAATGCCATTACTCATGATATGGTTCCTGCTCTTCTATTCTGCCTCATCCTGGCCTCTTCTTTGTTCTATACACCCCAACCACTGTGGCTTGAAAATTCTATCCCTTGTGTGTTCCAAACCCCTTCTCAGTACTTTTCAGCATACCGCTGTTCCCCTCTTCCCAGACCACAGAGAAAATACAGTTCCTCTCAGATAGTAAAGACTCAAAATATTTTAACAAAAATTTTCTCCAGGAATCCACCAAGTCGCTCAGACATAGAAGTATCAAAAAGGGCTCATGGATAGTACACCAAACAATGCAATGTAACCTTACAAGTCTATCCTCTAATTTGGGAAAAGGGATTAGTTCTGTGATTATAAGTAAAATGGTATCTAATATAATTCCTATTACCTTATTTAAAAAAAACAACCTTATAGTTTTGAATTACCTTACCCAAGACCACTAGATACTAGCATGTCTCAAGATGCCAAGCTTGTAGTTAATGCTATAAGATTTATTTTCTATTGACAGTGGGATTCAGCATTTGCTGTCCATAACTGTCCTGAAAAGAGAAGTGACCTTGATTCTAAACTATCCAGAGGTACCAGAAACAGAAGAACAGATGGGTCATACTTCCCTAGACCATCCCTATAACTTGTATTCTAACATATGAAAGTCTGATACAAGTTAAGAAAGCTTCTTCAAATGGCAAGGACTCCCTTATGTCCAGATATCATTTTAAGAAATAAAAGAGTTTGAGGGAGCCATTATAGGTTTAAAGAGAAATCAAGCACTAGGGAGATGTCTGGAGATATACAAAGATGACACCAACTAACAATCTAAGCAACAGAGGAGAGGCTACCTTAAATGTCCTCCACTTATAATGAAATTGAGGACCAACTTATATGCCATAATATAGCCTTCATCCAGCAGCTGGTGGAAACAGAAGCAGAAGCAGACACCCACAGCTAATCACTAAACTGAACTGGAATCCAGTTGCAGAGGAGGAGGAGTGATGAGCAAAGGGGTCAAGACCAGGCTGGTGAAACCCACAGAAACAGCTGACTTGAAGAAGGGGGAGCTCTTGATTCCCAGACTGATAGCTGGGAAACCAGCAGGGGACTACTGTTCCAGACCCCATGAATGTGGGTGTCAGTGAGGAGACCTTAGAAATCTATGGGGCCTCTTGTAGTAGATCAGTACTTATCCATAGGATAGGAATGGACTTTGGGAGCCCATTCCACATAAAGGGATAGTCCCTGAGCCTAGACACACAGGGGTGGGCCCAGGCCCTGTCCCAAAGGATATGGCAGACTCTGAAGACTCCCTATGGAAGGTCTTACCCTCCCTGGGGAGCAGAAAGGGTATGGGATAGGTAGGGTATTAGTTGCCGGGGACAGGGGAGGAGGGAAGGGAACTGGGATTGACATGTAAAACAATCTTGTTTCTGATTCAAATGAAAAATGGAGAAAAAAAAAAGAAATAAGAGTTTGTTATTAGGCCTCCACGAAAAATAAATAGCTAAGGGTTATAGTGTATGATGAGGCCTTACCTGCTTGCAAGTACTCTGGCTGCAGAGTAGGAGGCAGGCCCTCTGGCAGTGGGTAGCCGTTCTTCCTTGCTACAATGAGATGAAATGCAGCACAAAACTCAGGCAAGGTCAGGGCTCCATCACAGTCAGCATCACTGAGTTCCCTAAAGATAAGAGTTGTCATGAGTACCTGTCATGCAGCGTCAGCCTCAAGCACGCACACACAGTTCCCAGATTCCTGCCCATGGCCTCTGGTATCCTCAAAGTTTCCTAAGCAAACCAATGTGAAATCCCAAGGGCCACCCAGAGGAAGAAAACAAGCTGATCTTTAGCAGTATCATCAGTGACACTTTGTAAATGAAAATGGATATTCTTCAGGCTCTCTAATAAGGTCTGTTTTTCAACAATGAGACAAGGCATAGGAAACTCTAGGGAAAAAAGAAAAGTGATGTCTGGGGTTCTGAAGTTATCTGACAGTTGCTCAATAAGTGCAGGCTGCACAGAGTGAAGAGTGCTGGAATTAATGCTGGAAAAGGCCCAAGGAAGTAGAGACTCAGCCACTAAGGAATTCATTCAGAGCATGAACATAGGCACTTCATTGCTGCTTTTTTTCAATTTTAAGGGAAAACCTGAATGTTTTCAAACAGTGTACATTTTGGTAGCAAATCAGTCTGCATGAAAATTTCATCTTAGAGAGCTGGGCATGATGGTACATACCTGTAAGCCCAGAACTTGGGAAGCAAAGGCAGGAGGATCAGAAATTCAAGACTAGCCTACGGCACATAGTAATTTCAAAGCCAGCCTGAAGTACATGGGACTGTTTGAGGACATAGAGACAAGAGATAGGATGGATAAAGGGAAGAAGGAAGAGGGAGGAGATGGAAGGTGGAAAAGGGACAAAGAAAGTGAAAGAGCAAGAGAGAATGAGAGCAGGAGGGAACAGAGAAAGCAAGAGAGCAAGAGACAGAGTGTATATATATAGAAATACAAATAGGGGTTGTGGCCTGTAAAAAAGGGGGAAAGACAACACCTCCTAGTAAATTTGGAGCATTGGGGGCAGGGGAAGAGTAGAAGGGGAGAGGGGAAGGGGAGTGGGAAAAATGTATAGCTCAATAAAAAAGAAAAAATAGAAAAATAAATAACAAATAAGTTCAAGAAATACTGGTTGTATCATATTTTAATGTAAAAGCAGCAAGTAGAAAAGGCTGGAACTGGAAAGGACAAACATGAAGAAAGGGAGTCTTGAAAAGGCTTGTCTTCACTTCAGTCACTGTCTCACACTAAAAGGCACAGACTTACTCACTGAGCACAAAAGAAATCCATTTGCCTGGAGAGTGCTGGATGTCTCTACAATTTTGTTCAAATGACTGCAGAACCTAGAAAAGTTGTTGCTGCTATTGATGCATAACATACTGGCATTATTGGTGGGTGGGTGTGTGTGTGTGTGTGTGTGTGTGTGTGTGTGTGTG